CCAGCCATGGAGACCTTGACTGATGGAAAAGAAAGACAATATCTGGTTTATTATTCCAGTGCTGACGCATTGCAGTGCTCATTGTTACTGCCACAGCTTGGAATTGTTTGAGGTAAGAAAGCCATGAAAGCGCTATTATGGCTTATCCTTCATAATTTTAAATGTGTGGCATTGAATAAAACATTAGCCTTAAGTCTTAAGAGAATGTCCTCTGTTGGCAAACAAGAACTGTTTCTTTAGCAGGTAGCAATTTGCTTGAGATGGATGAATCAAGATTGCGACAGTAGTTTTTTTTTCAAATGGCCGGCGCTATTAGTGCATTAGCACCCCGCGGTAGCGTAATGATTGCGGTGGCTAAACAAGAAGACTCTCGTTTGATTTTGGCCACAGCTGTTTTGTTTTGTGGGAGGCAAATTGCTGGTGGCCGTGGAATTTACCGAGCACTCCTGCACGGCGTGCTCCAAAATCATGTCGTACATTTTGCAGCTCCAAAAATTTACCTGTTGTGTTCATTTCAACAAGGGGACCAAACATTATCAGCTGGACAGAAGGATTTTCCCCCTTTCTCATATGCAGCTTTGTAGGGCCCAGTCCTCCACCCTCCACATGCTTCAAACCAGGTTGTACCCCAGTCTTCGTTCCCACAGCTAGTTTATTGAAAGCATTGATCCAACATGCCCCTATTGTGGAGCCGGATCTACGTTAGATCACATGCTCTGGCAGTGCCCCTCATCAGGTGATTCTCGGCACATAACCGAAGAGGAATGGAGCTCTGCGCTCAGGAGCTCACAACTTGCACATCAACTCTGGGCTGTCCAGAGGGCCCACGACGTGGCGTTGAGGCTCGGCCTACCCTTTCTGACGGGGGAGCGGCCCGCTGCTTTACCTCCTTGAGGTAGTGTTTCTCAGGACCTCAATAAAAATCTCTGTCTGTCTGTCTGTCTGTCTGTCTGTCTGTCTGTCTGTCTGTCTTGTAGAGTATTTCGTAAAGTTTCAAAATGTATATACATGATAACAGCTTTCATCTTTGAGACTGCACCTTTCTAACACGTTTCCCATGAAAATAGACACCTCATTTTTACGACTGTTGCAAATTTTGAACTAAAATAATACAATACGCATGATTACTTGTTATGTTGCAACCATTTTCTATCTTGCTAAGCCTGCTTGCGAATCACGCATTCACTGTTAGAGTTACCTAAATTCCCCACTTCACCATTTGGTTAAACCGTGGTAACTCCTTTATTAAACAAGAAGCTGGAAAGACATATTTTTCTTACAGTGTTCAAGATTTATGCTCATTGATACCTCACTTGATATGCCCGTAACCGCTTTGTTTACGCGGTGCGGTAAAAGAATCAAGCAAGTGTTTCCAAGTAGTGACGTGAAATAATACGTATACAAGGCAGGCAGATACACAAGAACTGACAATACAAAGAAGACGGGGAGAGAGAATGCTGTTTCAGCTGTCTCACGGGGCTTTGTAGAAAAACAAACACGAGCCGGCTTATTCTGAATGCCTCAGCACCAGTGCATTTAGAAATATATTTTGCAGTATTATTCAAGAAGATCCTGGCTTTGATGGAGACTAGATAACTTAATATGACAAAATATATGCCACACTCACAATTTTCAATATTTTTATTCAGGAAAAATATTTCGCTTAACATTTACTTTAGGAACTTATTGCTTCAGAGTTTACAGTACCGGTAAACAAATAAAGAAAATCCAGTATCATCAGCGTATCAGCGGGCGTAAATCTTACTTTTTAAAAAGTATATAGTCTGCTAAGGATTTCTTGAGCTGTGTAATGAAACATAAAAGCATTTTTGACCCACACTGCAACCAGAGTAATCCTACCCGACTGAGAAAAGCATCTATGCCACAATTGACTAAGTGTTAGAGCCAAATTTATTTGATCCACAGGTATTCAACCCTAATGCGTGAAAATATCCGAGTTATTTCCGGTAGAATACCACTGTGCTGGCTAACTGCAGGTATTAAAATATTGCCAGAACTCATTTCCATCAGATGCTATGCGGACAGAGAATATTGTAGTAAAGTACAGTATTGTTTAACTCAGCGGCAGGCCAAAGTTCTTTCACCAACATCTGCTCCTCGAAGAGTGCGTGTGCTATTGACACAGTTTGTAGAACTGAAAAATGTTTCCTCACACCAGGCGCAACTGACACACCCCAACTGTGAAGCCACCGAAACAAATCATGTGCCTGTGCCACAAGCAGTCAGAAGAGCTGAGCAATATTGATGTGATTTAAATAACCATCAATATCAATGACATTTTTTCTCAAAAATTCATGACCCCATAGAGATATGAAGAAGCGCTTGAAACAACAGAGCAACCACTTTTTTAATGCTTTTGGGTTCACTTCGCAGATACGCCAGGCAGCCATTCAATGTGCCAGAAAAGAAGTATGTAAACATAGCGTGACTTGCCTTTGCTGGTTTTATAGTATTGTTGACTGAAGGTTTCAGAAAAAAGAAAAGACAACTATTAAGATACGAACTGCTGCAGTAGTAAACTAAAGGTTTAGAATGGTCAACTACTACCAAAGGAAGTGTCCAGTTGCCAGTAGCCGAATGCAACACTTTTAGGGCAGTCGTAAGCATGTAAAGCCACTGAAAAACCGCAGCTCGAGAGATCTCGTATTTGGAGACTTATTGTAAATTGGATGGTACAAAGATCGCAAAACACACAAAGTCCAGAACTTCATAGCAACATCAGTTGCTGTGTCTAGCCATCGCAAGCTTCCATCTTTTCCTTCCCGCCGTTCTTTCAATATATAGTATTTATAGCACAGTCGTTTACTCTTGGCAGTAAAGGTGGAAAATCGCATTTCAATGCGCTAGAACGTCGCGGAGGCTGGATTCAACAGCATTCATGCCTGAGGCTGCTTCGGTAGTTGCCTCAGGCACGTTTTTCTCAAATAGAGATCAAAAGGGGATATCTTTTAATGTAATAAAAGTTTGCAGAAAATTAGAAGCACCATTTTGGAATCTTCAAGCTAATCTGCTTCCCATCACTGGCTTTCACCAGCACCTTTACGACGCGAGATGTCTGACGTCCTACCGGGCTATCATGTGCGTGACCTCTATAACCCTGCCTGATTATTTTTCATCCGACACAATAGTTACATTTAGCGATGAGCATAAGTGAAGTGCAAACAAGAAGGAACTACATGAAGGTATAGAAAACCACTAATGAACGTAGGAATAGAAGCTTGTACAGAGAAACCATTTGTCTGCTGCTGGTGGTATAACAGAAATAAGCTGTGATCTATCATCGCTGTTGTTTGAAGGATGTAGACCGTCGTTAATGTAAATTACTAGGCCAGGAAGCATCAAGCAGCCAAGCCCAGCAGCCATGGCTATGAAAACCGAGACAGTTTGAGAAGAAAGAAACTTTAATGTGACCAACGACGGACACACGCCCTAAACTACTACCACTTTTCTCACTTAATGTCGTAGACCCAAACATGATTTCAAGCTTCAATGCATAATAAACTATCCTTGTCAAATAGTAGGCATTCATACATTGCGAACATACATCACAACCGATACTTCCTTAAGAAGCTCACTCTCACAGATACAGATCAGAAATACCAGTTCCTAAATGTACCTGAATATAAGAGGACTAACCTCTACCAATGCAAACCTGTCGTAGTTTCTTGTCTACTTGTTGTAGTCATCGATGCCAGTAAAAGAAAAACCACGACGTTTATAAATACTGGGGCAGATTAAAAACTAATAGTTAGTGGAAATTTCTAGAGGCTTGCACTATGACGTCTCGTATAATTACAGCGTATTTTGCGGACGTAAAACTCCACAAAATATTAGTTTTATTTAACAGATATTGTCATCAGACTAAAACAAAGGGCATTTGTCTCGTGGCAGCACATCGCAGTGATTTTTTTTTTGGATACGTGCAGTCGAATATTGTTTGCATGCGATTAAATGCTGTATTTCTGCAAGATTGTGCACAAGAGCATCGAGTGAGTCATTGGGAAGCGTTTTTTGAACGTTCACGAAAAGAGTTTGGTCAAATGCACTCGCGAATCAGTAAAGCTCATACTCAATGCAACTTACCGAATCTTACTGGTGCTCAGACAACGTGCTGTAATTGTACTTAATAACACATAGCAAGTTAATATATTCTTATATATGAATCGAAAATTACCTTTTGTTGATTTTGTACCTGTGCTTCTCGGCCAACCCGATTTATTCTGATTAACGGTAAAAACCTTTTAGCAAGACATTGAGCACAGTCTGTAAGAGACGCGCACCTTTAATGTAATAGTCAGATGTATTTATTTTGAGCTGCTTTCTCGCTGAAAGCAAGTAACTCCAGCGATAAAGCAAACAATAAGAAGTAGTAAACCCCACTACATGTACCTTTCTTGGCTACCCATATGATCACTCAAGAATTAAGGGCCTGAAACATTTGTGCGTTGAAGTGGAAATACGTAGCCACCAAACTTTCACTTAACGAAATTATTTTCTCAGTATAGTTTTCGAGAAAGACCAGCGCCTATATTAAGGTTGTCTACTTTGTGCGTGGTATTCTTTGCTTTTTTATTCTCCTATTGTCTTCATTGATTCTTGGTCACTAGTATTCTTTTTTTTGCATTATTTTTCATTTGTGTTTTCTCATTGATAAGAAGTATTTTAGTCAAGAGAATGCTAATATGTTTAAAGCTTTTGTGGTTGTGCATTCGCAGATTGATCATATTTATGTCCCTTGCCAGCGGCGGCGTTCCTTGGAATCTGACAGGAAGTCCACTCTCTCACAATCCACAAATAGCAGCTTGAAAATGCAGATGCCTACAATTTCCACATAACAGTTTAAAAATATTTCCGCAATTCTTACTGATTACGTTTCAAACACACTCTAACATTCGAGTGGCAAGCTCTACCTGGTGATCTCTGAGGACACAGATCACCAACTGCCATGCCACAGCTCCGTGACCTTCGCAGTTGCCACTCTAGACAGCATCGTCCTTCCCGGTAGGCCCGAAGGCACCGTTGCTGAAACGGTGCGCGGGACCCAGATAGCCGGCGTTAGGAGCAACCGTGGACGTTGTCGAAGCGAAGCTGATGCAGCTCGATCGTGGCGCCCGTCCTTTGTAAAGCCGCCCCGTGTCCCCATGCACTGGCGTTACAACTCCGATACTGGACACCGCTGCAGATGACGGCCGACGGCTACCGACGCGGTAGTTGAGACCCTGTTTTTTCTGTTCAGCGCAAAGAGCACGAGACGTCCTCCAACGCTGGAAGTGATGCCGGATGGTGCTGCGTACCTGCAGAGAGCACACGGAGCACTGTTGCAGCAGGTTCGGTTTGCAGGAACAGCAAAGGCATGCTTTTTCATCATACGGGACACGTCATGATCGTCAAGCGACAAAATGGCAGCTCAAATTAGTTTGAATTTCGATTACCCATAATATAAATCCTTCTAATGCCTTACAATTTTATAGAATAGACTGAATCTTTAAACCTGATTTCAACAATAGTTGAAGTTGTTACCATTACGGGGTTACATGGAATAGCAGTACACAATATATTGAAGATGTCATTAAGAAGCTCTAATAAAAGCAAGTCAAACCTGATTTTAACAATAGTTGAAGTTGTTACCATTACGGGTTACATGAAATAGGAGTACACAATATTAATGAAGACGCCAATACGAAGCTCTAATAAAAGCAAGCACAATTTGGAAAACTTCACGTGAGCTCTCATGTTTTGAAGAAGGAGCTACAAAGAATTTGTTCTTACCAATGAGAGTAACGCGAACATTTTTCCGAAGCACACTGAATAATCACCTCTTCGAATTCCATCTTTTATTGTATATGTGTTCTTGGAAGATTAACTCGAACATATACAGTACATGATGCCTCTCTCATTCATACAATAATCACGTTTTCTCGCAATCACTTTATACATAACTACAAGCCGAACGCCACATTGTAAGTAGCAAAATTTGCGAGCAATTCAATCGTGTTCGTTAAAGAACGTTTGTCTAGCTACGGTTGCCCTATTACTTACCTCGCTATTAAAAAAGCAATACAGGACTGCCACGGTGAAGCCCTGCAAAATGGCAAGAGAGGGAAGGTTCCGTGAAATCAAAACTGCAGCAATCATATCCTACAAACTGCTATTAATTGTGGAAACACAATTGTGGAAACACAGGTCTACCATTCCTATCTATCTATGTAATAAGTAAATTCGCTTCCAGTTTTTGTGACACCACGTGTCAAAGAGCGTTGAAAACTTGGCGAGTAGGTTTTTAGTACTTCCCTGGTACACCTCTTCCCGAGGAAAAATTGGCTAAGCAAGCCACATGAAAGAACAAAGCGCTCTTTCGTTTTCGCTTCCGTTCATCGAGTTATCATATCGACTGGAAGCGTTTTGGCCAGTTGGTGACATCGAAACCGAAATAGTCAGCTAACAGCTTTGGTATAACACTTCACTTTGCTTCTATCACATTCATTGTTTCATTCTTGTGGCTTGTTTGCAACTTTCTAGGTGATATTACGTGATGTAGAACAAAACTTTCTACATGATGCCCAAAAACTAAGAGCACACACGTCTGTAAGCGTCATATGCTACGCTGTTTGCTTAGACATGAATATAGAATATCAACCTTATGTGAGCTATCACGTGTTCATGAAGCCGGCGCGACAGTGATCGCTGTTTGACGTTATATGAGTAAGTACCGTAAACTGCAGTTGATGTCCAAGAGTTATTATTTGAAAATTGCGAGGGTGTAAAACGAACACAAATGAGGAGAAAACAAAGGTACAACTGTGATGTTTGAAGCTAAAAATGAAATTTCGCGTGGCCGCATTGTTCATATAGAGACGGATGACCAGGAAAGCATAAGGTTCATTTTATTTGCGCTTATATTTCTGTCATCAACATGAATATAGATTTGAGCTATAAAGTATGAGGAATCAGGCGATGGAAGTATTAGCTCGCAAAGACACACAAATAAATTGACATAATGTAGGAAAAAAAGTGGGCTCTAGAGTAACGTGATGTTTATAATGCTATATCATAAGAGTGATGCCCTATCTAGTTTTCTGAAGCGGACACTGCCAATAAGTTGGAGCTAAATACTTACCTGAGTAGATAGCAGTGTTATCTGCAGGTAAGTGAAGATAGTTTTGGCAGTCTTGTGAGACGGAGTCCAGATCACCAAGACATACGTGACTCCAAGTAGTGGAGTCAATACCAGCAGAGCTTTCGCTGCCTTTCTGTAAGTGATGTTCGAAAGTCCGGACTTAATGAACACACACCGGCCAAACTGCATGTGGGTCACATGCAAGCAGCTCAAACTGAGGAACAATTCTCGTATATTTCACATATGCTGGTGGCCTGCATTGAATGTTGCTTCCGAAAGTTTTTACTATCCGATCGCCATGAGAGAGAAGTGCTTGAAGATATGCTGGAGATATAAGCCCAGCTATTCACCTGACATTATATTCCAGGTGCTGGGTGAGGATTATGCAATATACACTGATAACCACACCAATATACACTGATAATAGCGTGCGCGCGCGCACACACACAAACACACACACATAAACACACACGCACACCGACACACATAAGTGGCAAATTTGTTTGCTATGATGGCGGTAAAGAAACGTAGGCTTCCATTACCTGTATTGTTGCGTTTCCACTGTTGTTGTGGCCCGTAGTTTCGTAATTAGCACCCACATTATTTCTCCCATGAAGAACACATTAACCTGGAAACGCAAAACGACACGTACAAAATTTATGCCTAGCTGCAAAAAGAACAGTTTCAATGTCAATTTGAAGTTTTTGAAGCAGTTATTAGTTATTTTCAGCACGAATGCACATTCACCAAACCTGTTACAATTCCAGATGAGAATAGCTGTAAATCTAGCGCCTCATGTAACGTTCGATGTTGTGATAATATACCTGCGGTCATTAGAAAATTGTTGCCACTTGCAGAGCAGAGATAATTTGTTGTTCTAATTAAGGATTCAAAATAGTTATGGGATTGATTGATTGATATGTGGGGTTTAACGTCCCAAAATAGTTATGGAAGGCGATTAATGAAACTGCATTATCGAACACGAATGCACGCCTTTGTAATTTTTCGAATGATGTCGGGCAAATAAGGCCCCTACACAGGGGGCACGAGAAGTACCTAAATGTTTTACGGCAGCCGCAAGTGTATAGGACACGCACATAATCGTGTACCGTTTGCTACGCTTTTCACTAAGGGGTCATGCCCAGTATAAGCCTCGCTTGATGCTAATATAATAATGTGGAGGTGTACAAGCTATGCAACCTGTTATCGTACCCCGCTGTACTAACCCTGACACAAAACAAAAAACGAACTAGCAAGGCAAGAGTATTCACTTTATAAATGAGAAGTATCAATATTTCAAAAGGTGAATTTATCATGATCAATAGTATTTCTGGTTGGGTTAATAGGTCATGGTAAAGCTTGTCTTTCCACAGTTGCAGTTTGCGAACACTCTAGCTTCAGCTCACACCTATTCTTGAAGGAATGGCAATACTAATGCCCTCACCCTCCCTGTCAACAGGTGCAGAAAATGAATAGTTACAGCTTCTGCACAAAAGTATTGGGTAAAACACTCGACGAACCGATATTATTCGTGTATATTTTGATTTCGCTCAAAGACGAATTTATATAAAATTCTACGCTGTATGTTCAAGAACATTATATTTATCGCATTTATGCACATGAAGATGCTATGCATGTGTTCAATGTTTCATACAAACATATTGTATTTTCATACAAACTTGTAGCTCTTTTTGATATTTAGCTATTTTTTATTAAAAGCGAAAAAAATCCTTGTAGAAAGGTAAACAGGCGTGGCAGACAACAAGATCACTTCCAGTGATTTCATATTTACTGTCAGTCGATCATGATACAACCCGACTGAGCCGGCACGAAGAAAGTTTCCCTTGCCCAAGGTTATTCCCTCATGATGGCAATCTTTGTGACAATGATTCGATTGTAGCCACAATTTCTAGTTACTAAGAAACTCTTCTAAGAAGCATCGTTGCAGGCTTATTGAAGGTTAGGTCATTTATGTTCATGAAAATAAACTTTAGCAACTGCAAGATTGAATTCAGCTTTCTTGATATTGCTTTCTGCTTGGAGCACATCCACCTTGCTAAGATGAGAAGATTCTCGCGTTTCAGCATTAAGCGAAAAACTTTTGGGAAGAAACGTAAGATGGCCGTCATATTGAAGGCACCGACCAGAACACATTCGTCAATGTGCTTGTGGGCTATAATAATAATAATAATAATAATAATAATAATAATAATAATAATAATAATAATAATAATAATAATAATAATAATAATATAATAATAATAATAATAATAATAATAATAATAATAATAATAATAATAATATAATAATAATAATAATAATAATAATTATATAATATTATTATTATAATAATATTATATTATTATTAATATAATTATTTTTGTTATTATTATATTATTATTATTATTATTATTATTATTTTTATTATGATCATTATTATTATTATTATTATTATTATTATTATTATTATTATTATTATTATTATTATTATTATTATTATTATTATTATTATATCTAGGGTTTAAGGAGTCGAAATTATAGTAAGACTATGAGAGACACCGTAGCGACAAGCACCGGCAATTTCGACCATCTGGCGTTCTCGAACATGAGCTGATATCACGCAGTACGCGAGGATCTACCGTTTCGCCTCCACCAAAATGCGACCGCCGTAACCAGGATCACTCCCGTTACCTTCGGGTTAGCAGCTGAAGACCGTTGTCACTATTTCACTGAGACAGAGGATTGCGCGCTTTGAGGTAGTGCTGATAACTACATTATATACGTTGAGCATGCATTCATTGAATTTAAATTGTTAACCACTGAAGAGAAATCATGAATATGAAGCGATCCCGCAATAGTGGAATCCTAAGACGTTACAAAACTAAGGAAGGGAATTAGGAATGTGAGAATTTGAACCCCCTTGTAGGCGGCGTGTGCTTAACATGGGCAATATATGAAATAGATTTATTGTAATTGTTTTCTTATCACAGTCAATTTGTATGTATTTCGAAATATGTTATTACTGGTGATAATGCCTTATTTATTGATTGCTGAGAAACAGATTTGCTGGAATATTTAACTGTTATTTTCACGCTTGTTGCAGTGTTCCTCGTTTATTTATCGCTTGTATGTATGCATGTTGTTGAATATTTTTGTGTACTCTTTTGCTGTAACTGCCCGAGGTGCCTCATGAATAGTGGGCTAAGTCAGGAGACACTCTCTCCTTTTGCCTCCTTTGTGGGCATTTCGTGATAACTCCCAAATAAATAAATAAATAAACAATAAATAAATAAATGAATAAAAAATATTTACAAAAATAAATAATAAACGAGATGCTTTGTTGTGTTCCACATAAAGATATGAATCTAATGTGTCGAGCATATCAAAGTAAATTGATCTGCGCCTTTGTGAAATCCCATGGGTACATCCAAGATGACTCTGAATAAATGCCTTTATATGCAGCCGAAAAAGGTTAACAAAATGATGTCTGTTATAATCACCAAACGTCTGTAGTAAAATAAGACGGCCAGTACGATACCAATATTTTACTTTTGCAATAGCCAGATCTGAGATGCCCGCTGAAGTCCAACAACCATGCTTTTCCTCTTTCGCAAAAGTTTTAGAAGAACAGGCTTTCAGGTACACCATGGTAGACCAGTAATTATGGTGCTCCACCATTTACTCGAAGGTCACGTATTGATCTCGGCCGCGGCTGTCACATTTCAATGGAGACGAAATGCCAGAGGACGAGAGGACTGTGCGGTCTCAGTGCACAATATTGAGCACTTGATGGTGGAAATTCCTGAAGCCCTCCACCACTGGGTCTTCCATAATAATACTGTGTTATTGGGTTCTAAAACACGAGATGTTCTCAAAAACTTACTGTCATGAGCCCCCCCCCCCTTCTCTTTTCAAAAGAAATGATTCTAGGATACTTCAAGAATTGCGAACTAACAAAGATTTCAGTGAAACACAAGCGGTCGAATGCACTCTCTTTGTTAGATATTATGTACTTATTAAACATATACTTCAATACTTCAATAACTGGTTGATGTACAAATACTGCAAGCTCTACTTAGGCCTAAATGGAAATGAGTACATAATGGAAATAAAAGAGAAGACGACTTAGGTTAGAGTTGTGTGATATGTGGGGTTCCAACTCCCAAAACCACCATATGATTGTGAGAGATGTTGTAGTGAAGGGCTCCAGAAATTTCAACCACCTGGGGTTCTTGAACGAGTGCCCAAATTTGAGCACACAGCATTTCCACCGACAAAAATTAGAGTTAAAATGCACATTTTCAATCCATAATTGTGCAACAGCATTGCTAAGACAACACGAAGATAAATGTGATTTGAAAACAAAAACAACCCAAAGGTGAAACTGTGACACACGAAAAGAACATTTTTCACGCGATATTTTTATGAGAACCGATCATGCCTTACAGTTGTTTGCTTTCTTTTTTACTTGCGACTGAAGAAAATGACCTTAAGTTTACCCGCTTAAATGCTTCGGCAAAATGAAAAATGTTAAAATGGAGCCTCCCCCACCCCCCCCTCCCAAAAAAAAAACATGTGGGCGGAAATGCGCACCACAATCTCGCGTACGCTATCATGACTTACCAGAAGAACGATGGCTACAGGACAGATAAAGACGCAGTCGTAAATGTCTTTCAGCTGCCAGACGCACCTGCGAGGAGAACAATTGCGAAGTGGCGGCACCAGAAAAAGAGCCTAAGAGAGGCTCAACGATGGGAAATCCTTAAAAAACGCAGGAAGTAAAACAGACGGTGATTTCTGTAAACATAATTTTCATACGCGAGAAAACCAATCCGCAGTGATTGTGTCCGTACTTTCAAAAATAAAGAAGACTGCTCCTAAGATTAATGGCTGGTATTCTGCGTCCGACAATAAGCCTTCAATTTGGTACAGGGGGATTCTCCGAAGGCAGTCATCTTTTTTTCTTGTTCTGAGAAAAAACGAAAAAAACAACAAGCAAACTTGCTCTGCTTCACGAAGAAATCCCGCTTTAAAATTAGCAAGCAGCTAGGGGTGCCAGAAAAATTTATTATTTTCGAGGAGGAAACAAAAGAACTGAGCTCGAGGTCTTTAAAAAGGCGTTAAAAAACAGTCAAAGAAAAGCCTCGCAAACTGCCTTATTGAACTAGAGCAATGCCACTGTTGCTTTATTTTTTAGCCTTCTTGGTAATCACATTATCTTTCCCCATTATGATATGACCAAATAGACACTTGGTGTTTCTCAAGCGCTCATTGGGTGAACATTTACGTTGATTTTTCTTGTGATGAATTATTTGCCCGTTATTGCGACGCTACGCGTAAACCTGAAAGAAACGGTCATACTTTTTAAAATATATGTCTACTTTGAAGAGACCACATTCTCTGTTGGGAGCTTTTTTGGGAGGGAATTTCTGTGAAAAAGCAGGCAAGAAAAGGCGAACAGCTGACATGCGCTGAAGGCTTTAAAAATACCTCAAAAAACTGGTCGACTTCACAAACGTGATTGTCCCTCTCCCTTTTTGATGTATTCGCACGTTTTGACCCGTAAGCTTCATTGCGTGATCTCGATCGTACATAAAAGAGATGTCGCGCAAGACTTGTACAATGTTCAAACTGAAGTTTTGATTGATGCTTTAAAACTCTATCTGAAATTCAGAATAATGTGAGTTTTCGAAATGGTTCCTGTTCCTTGGCATACCCCACAACAGCTTTCTCCACCGTTGAAGTTACGAAAGTTCTGCACATGTGCAGCAGTGAAAGATTAAAAAAAGAACCAGTACCAAGCACCCTTACGGGAAAACTGCGACGCTATGCATCTGGTTCCCCAACATGACAATACAGGCAGGTCTGACATACCTGTAAACATAAGTGGCCGGCGAAAACTAAGATTTACTTAATCCAATTTCTAGTTATATGTGACTTTGTTGCCTATGCCATTGGACTCTCGTTCTAATCTTGTTCGGCTGTAGAAATCCATGGCTCCAGGCCATGATCGTTGCATAAAATTTGCCCTATTAAAAATACTGAATTTTGTGGGTGACGTTTGTTAATGTTTGGTAGCATACCGGACGTAAGAATGAGGTATGTGTGAACGCTAAGCTGATGACCCAGGTGCTAGTTAGAGTTTGAGGGATACATGTGAAAAGGGTAACTTCGTTACACGTGCAAGAACACGAAATGACCGTTAGATTTTTTGGTTCATTTTAAACTGACATAGGTTAAAATAGATCTATACTACATAGAAAGTAGTGATGTCAATGAGTAAATAATTCTTACCCTCTCATTTACAAATGTAATTAATTACGTCGGTGATGAGTAGCTCCGTGAGCAAGATATTGTCATTATCTAAGCAATTTTATGCCCTCACAATTTGTCCGTATATGTTTGGCAAAATGTTTTTCCTATCGTTGAAAAATAGCGCGTTGAAATACATGGATAATGTATGTTTAACCAATAAAAATATACACTTACAAGCCGTCGAAGAGAACAGGATCACTGCGATTGGCACTGAAGTAGGCCTTTGTAATTGACCAAACTGTCACCACTATGGCTGGCAACCCTGTACAGAGAAAAGCAGACACGCAAAATAAATACTTTCTTTACAGCGATGCACCTTATTTTCCACAACAGTAACCACAAATTGAATATCAGAGTGCTTCAGCACTGTAATTTTTATTTATACCAGCAACGTACGTGCTCAGGTGAGCGGAATAGTAGTGCCACACTTAAAAAGAAGACAACTTTCAGAATACAAATTTCGGCAACGCGCTTCACTACTTTCACCGTCTGTCATCACTAAAAGGCACAACATATATATGTTCGCATAACTCATCAGATTTTGAAGAATGTTGACTATCAGGAAAGTACTTCTCACATATATTGTCGTATATTGTTTCAAATGCCATCAATCCAGCTCTCTCGTATAACACGAACATCTTAATTTTGTTCTTTTGCTAAAGCTACTGTGAAGGCCGTTACATGTAGTGAATCAGTTACTTCAATACAAGCTCTCACCCCATCCGATGAAGGCGTAGACGTGAATCCTCACTAGTTCCACTGAAAATGTCTTCACGACCAGAATGTACAGGTAGAGACCCTCGACGAACATCCAGAAGAAGTTTGTGCCCATGAGGTATGTGAGCACAATGTAGAGAAAGCACGCACCCTGCACAGACAGGAGACACAAAGCGCTTGAAATCGTATAGCAGAGATGTCGAGAGTGGCACCTAATATGGGCGTTCATGACATGGTTAGGCGCACAAATATAACCAATTATTTGGATTCGCTTTGCTTGGAGATCACAAATGTTTTCATTACTCACGACGGTGACGAGAAAATGAAAAAAAGTGCATTTTTTAAAAGACGTTTGTTTGGCTTTCGTGAAATCACCGCTGACGCCATTTTCGAAAATTCGCACAAACATTTTAAAATTTGGAGCCATGAGAAAAAGTTTATTTATTATGAGGTCTGTTGAAAAGCACTCTTGTCATTTAAAAATGGCTTTTAGGCTTTGACATATAATTTTCTGGCATGAGCGTAAGGGGCGACAGCGATAATTATAACATTTAGTTGATCTGCTACATTTGAAAATCATGTTAGAAGCTTTATTTACTTAAATATTTATTTTATGCCACATCGCCAGCACCTGCTATTAAGCGTTAAAGTAGGGTTATTCAGAGGACATGTACAGGAAAAAAAAGTTGAGGTAGCAGAGGCACATGATAATCAACACAGACAAATAATTTACCAGTTTACAATAAGTAAATAATCAAGTCAAAGCAGATTTCTTGGGCAGGGTACAGCTTGCGCCTGAATTTCTCACAAGGCCACCAAGTGCACTGCGTAAAACTGCAATGGCTACTGTAAAAGCAAAACTGCCGCCTCATTAAGGAAGTGTCATGTTGGTGAGATAATTTTCTTACGCTGTGGAGCAATACGTTTATTGAGAAAGTTTCAGAAGTTCTACGCATTAAACAAGCAAACACGGAATTGATTAATTACGATCAAAATCTAATAAATTAGACTGTCTCCCCACCATTTCTTCCACAATGCAGGGTAGCAAATTGGACTGACGTCTGGTTAACCTCCACAATACGGTCATGAACGCTGGCTCAGTTCTAAGCCACGTCACCAGCATTGATCGAATTGCACGTTAATAAACACAGGATTGTAAAATTCTTCCGGACTCACTGAATAGGTCATGCCTCGGAGTCATCTCTTGCGCCTGCAATATTACACAACTGAACTCGTCATTCCGAAGCACCAAACTTGCTGTGCTGGTCATTCTTAAAATATTGAGCCAACAAAAGCCTAAGCCGCTAGCAGTATATTCCCAAGAAGAACTACCCAAACCAGCAATCTATGATTCGCTCGATTGTTCGCTACGCGGGCACCATTTACCAGGCTATGGTGGGCGCCACACGCTGTACTTTACCGATTTTGCAGATATCTGCGAGCTATTGCGGGACTTTGAAATCCTTAGTATAGGTTCGCTGACTAAATATACCAGTAATTAGCTCTCTCGGCTTCCTTAGTGCCTCCGCTTTTTGGCTTCTGTTATAACTCGCAGTTTCTCATGCCGATTAGACCACCGACACTTTACCGTTCTGTAGGCAGGAGACTGTATGGATTGCAGCGTCGCGGTTGTCATCCACACAATGGAGACGAGAAAGTACGTAACCATGAGGTTGACGTGAATGGTATTTCTTAAGCACCGAAGATCCCTGAAAAAGTAGAATATAACTGTCATACATCTTCATGTATCTACAAACTGCTTTCAAAGAACTCACCCAAAAAACAAAAACAATTTCGCATAGGTCGCAATTATTTATCAAAGTGTTTCTGAACATATCTCGGAAGAGAAATTCTACAACTGTTCTGTGAGCAAGATTTAATAGATATTTATCGCACAGTGTCAGCGCCCTGATAATGTATTATGACAATAACAAAAATCAGCTTAAAAAGTACTGGTGCTACTTTTTTTCTATATTAATATTCAAATCAGCCGAACGGACCGTGATTTCTGGAAAAGCAATAGTTTGAGTCGCTTTTTGTCTTTAGCGGTAGTGTAGTAATAATAACTGAAATTCAATTGAAAGAATGTAGACGAGACATCATTCATCCGTTCAGTGAAATCTCAGCCCTTAACCTCCGACTCTGCCATTACAGCTATGATGAATCACTTTTCTCCGTTCCATGTGTTTGGTATATTTGCAAGCGTAATCTCTGGTAGTCTTAGCCGGCGCCGCTAGTGGTCATAGAGGCGAGTTTAAGCCAGTGCTTTTGCCAGAATACGTGATGTGGACCGTGCCCTTCACCGCAGGTGTCAGCTGCCCATAAAAATGTCGCCTACTACCCGGAGGCTTAAGTCTGCTATTATCTGCTGCGTTACGTAGTTACTACTAACGAACTGCTACTACTACTAACTATACAGAAAAAAGAAAAGATGGATTACTCCTATGCTCTCCCTGGCCAAGCGGTACGTTGAAATGATTTCTTTATTAGTATAGCACGAGTAACACCAGTATTCCTTAAGCTGCTTCCCAGTTATCATTGTTAAGGAGTCTAACAGCAGACGTCCCGGTAGCATTCATTTAGTTGTAACTTAGAAACAAGCCCCTAGAAAAATTTATATTTTCATGTTCTAGCAATAGTATTTTACTGCATGATATTTATTTAAATCGAGTTATCTATACCAGCATTTTATGAAAAAGTGGTTTCCAGGAGGTAACTTACTTATAATGCAGGAATATCCAGAGAGCAATCGTCAAAGCGATCAGAGACACCCCATAACCGACATAGTACAATGTTGTTTCGTCCACCTGTGACAAGGCAAAACATATCATTTGAAAATCGTCGAGAAGGACGACAGTGGCCTCTTCCACGATAAATGTGAGCGAACCTGTTCACGTATTTTCATTTCGTGATCTACTGACGCACAACATTTTGTGCTGATATGTGAGCACGCGCAAATAAAATACCGCTGTTTAATTTTAGTTTTATGGTTTCCGGACTTTCTCTACTTCCTTTCTTTATTTTATTTTTGTAGTTATTTTTGGTTATTATTATTGTATTTTAACCTTTTTTCCTCTGCTTCGTTGACACGAACCAAAGTTACGGGCAAGATTTTATTTTATTAATATTGTATAAAGGAATGAGAGCCTAACAGATGAGCCACAGTATAGGACAATGTGACAACTGTGTCGCGTACACTTGACAACTGCATCAGTTCAATTACCTAGACAATGTAGCTTCGCTGGTCAGCCTTGGCGACAACGCGAATTTCGCAAGCGCTTCTAATGCTGCGCCTAAGCGAGAGGCCTGAGTTAAGCTCCAAAGACTTCATGATTACGAAAAGGTGCAACGCCATGACACCAAACACTGATATTTAGGAAGACACGAAAATCAGCGCAGAAACTTCATTGAATAACCTATAATATTTTCGTAATAAGGACCTCATGGTTACATGCAAGGTCGTAAACAGGAAGTGCTTTTTTCCTTTCCTCGATTTTTCTTTCCTTTTTTAAAAGTTACAATAATCAAAGCCGAGCGTATTGGAAAATGATTACGATACATGTAGTTGAAGTGAGCACATGTTAGCTCAGTTATTACTACCACTATCAGCTATAAAACTTTCTGAACTTTTGCTAACACATTGTCATTAGCAGCCCCCCCCCCCGGCATGATCGCTTCTTCATTGCACAGGCCTCTGTCATGTTCCCTCAATAAGTACGGTCCTGCGGTTGCCACTGTCACTCGATGCCCGCGAAATATTGTCCTATCCACCTCTAACTTCCTGTCTCCAAATTTAGTGAATTGGTGAATAATAATACATGAGTCTCAAATTTATGATTAAAAAGAATCTGACCAAGCCATACAATATATTTTTAATGACTCAGCCTGACTACACTTTATGTGGATAGAAACAAAATTATTCGGTTAATCGTGGTATACCATTGGTTATACGTGCAAAGGGAGGGATAAAGAGTTCCACAGCATATTCTGTTGCGCAGTGCACTGAGGGGGTGGGGGGGGGGTGTACATAAGAGTATTGCGAGCTTTGACGACATGGACTTTAAGTGATGGAAGACGTAGCAGTAGGGAAGCATATCGATGTTGTACAAAGCAATCTTCTGGGAACTGTTTTAATTTGCGTGTTACCCCGCAATGTACCACGCTGATATGAAGATCAGTCATTTCACTTGCGACATCTACGTGAACCTTCTTTGCAGTGACTTCAACTTTCCGGCACTCAGCCAAGGCTGAAACGGAAATTTCGTCTTGAAATATGTTTCGAAAGGCCTGCTACCACTAACTCGCCAGTTATGAGGCCGCTATGTGTACACGGCACAAAATAATCAAAGTGTTGATTGATTGCGGTTATAGGCGCGAAAACGGAGCTGAGTTCAATAGAAGAGCCCCAGTGTCATTCTTGTTTTTAAAGACGAATATCTTTCTTGGAGACCTTCGATGCGAAAAAATTGGTATGTCTGTTTATCTGTCTGTACATTTGTCTGTTGTTCCGCCCTAAACGGTACCCTAAACAGCTAAATTGACCAAACTATACTCCAAAGAGCCGACCCTATCCGCAGTGCCCACCAATACTGCTCAAGGTTTGGCGTTCATACTTGTGCAGTTGTCAATAAAAAGCAAATATTGCGCATATCTGAGGCACCATAATATCACGTCAATAGTATGTATGTGTATTTTTTACCAGGAGAGACATACATAAGTAATTCTAAGGGCCGTAGCCTTTATCACCCTGTGCTGGCCATGCAACGCTTGCACGAAAAGGCAAATGTTTCCAACGCTTTGCTAAGACGACACGGTGGTGGCACCTACTCGCCACTTGCGTTCTACACCTTATCACCTTTGAGACGGGCGTGCATGTCACACATTTCGTTTTCAGGATAACTGCCAGATAGCGCTCGTGTCTCACGTGTGACGTGGATTGATGCGCTCGTTCGCCTCCTCTGCACGCTCGAGGCACTCTAACGCAGCGCTTTCAGAATACCATTCACCAATTTTCTTGCGCAGAACATCAAACAAATGTCTTGTTCCCACTCTCCAGACGCAAGACAATCGTCTTTCGACGACATTTAAAGCGTAACATGCAGATACGGGGCCATTTTCTATTAATCTATCTTTTCACGATCCTGCAAACGGGACTGTGATTGATGATGTGATCGTGAGCATTGAAGAGCTTGCTAAAAGTAGCCATTCTAACAAGAGGGCCAAGTAAAATATATAGCTGTACATGAGAAAAGATAAAAACTTATAGGAAAAAGGCATCGAGGGTAACGTGGTACCAGTAACTGGCTTGCTATCCTGCAGTGGGTTGGAGAAATACGACTAGAAATTGCGCAGAGAGAGAAGCCTGAAGCAAAGAAAATTCGGTAGATGTCACGCACCTTGGGAATCAACGTTATGCGAAGCACTCGAAGTTAATTGTGTTGTAATTTTTATATTGAGTGAGAAGTCATGAAGTTACGGTAGTTATATGTACACACGTTGCATTAATAGACATATGCTTAAGAGTTTCAGATCTTTAGAGAACCAGTTCTTTGCTCTTCAGCAACAATGCCAAAGGCACATGAGTATTAGAAACCCCAGAAGTGATAAGCTTATTTGAAGCGCTGGTGCTCGCGAGGATGATATTCCTGGACACTGCTACATGAATTAACTTCAGCGCGTGGCACCTAACTGCAGTTGACATTAACCCGACGTTACGGCTGCATCACAGGAGTACATAAGAAGCGTTTATAAAATTGGATAGCCAGAAGTACTACCAAAACTCCCGTTTCACTAAGAGTATCGTTTATTTGAAAAGTTGATTGATGTGTGGGGTTTAACCTCTCAAAACCACCATATGATTATGAGAGACGCCGTTGTAGAGGGCTCCGGAAATTTCGACCTCGTGGGGTTCTTTAACGTGCACCCTAATCTGTCTGACACACGGCCTACATTTCCGCCTCCGTCGGAAATGCAGCCGCCGCAGCCGTGATTTGAGCCCGCAACCTGCGGGTCAGCAGCTGAGTACCTTAGCCACTAGACCACCGCGGCGGGGCATTTTTGTTATTTGAAAAGTAGTTCGGAGACCTGCCGTGGCTTTGTGGTAGAATGCTTGATTGCCACGCAGAATGCTTGCGTTTGATTCCTGCTGGTGCCCTCACATTATTTCTGTGCATTCGTCGGGTCCACCCTGACGATGTCACGTTTTTTTTAACGCTCACGCGTTCAAATTGCCCACGTTTGTTCTCTTTGTTTCTTGGTAGATACTAGGTATGAATGACTTGTGGCGATTACCTTCATACGAGTGGTGCATACTCGCCGGCGGGTATGGGCCACTGTTTGGTGGGAAGTGTCTGACGACTTGCGTGACGCGATTGTGTCTTCATTTATGTTTCGACCATCCCATCATCCCGTCACATTTGTCAAATCATCTTATACTCCCATAATTATTTACACTCACGCCAAGTTAAGGGTGTGATCACGAGAGCACCCAAACGTAAGGGGGTAAATAAATGGACAGATAGATTGATAAATAGGTGCGGAGATGACGCCAAATGTGTTTGCAGCACGCAAAAAAATGATTCGCATTTAAAACAAAAAAGTCACTGATTCACATACAGGCATGGTGTCCTCATCACATTCAGTTAAGCGCAAAAGCCGCAGAAGCGCTTGCATGAACTCCTTCTGTAATTTTTGCCCTTCCATTGAGAAATGCTTTCTTTCGAAAGAGTTTGGCAGTCCAACTCAAGATGTGCATCGCAAAGCGTCTGTCCCTAGGAACAGTACGGTGGACAGTAACGCCGAATATTCTTCATGATTTTTTTACTGCTGCAGCGGTCACACATTGTGGAAATTGTCATTCCCATGTGGAACGCGTGCATAGGTAAATGTTACTTTCAAACATTACCTATCCAAAAGGGCAGCCTCACTTCAATGAAGTCCTGCAGCAATCGGAAAGCTGAATGTTGAGTCTATGTAGTGTAATCGCCATTACTTTATGTACGGCTAATTGCATCGTGGCATGGTGAATTGGCGCGTAAGCACGCCGAGCCTTCATGCCACGTCAGTGATAGAAAGGGAACTTTGTCTGTACTGAATGGGCAGCTTGATAGGTATGTTCATTGCTGATAATCTCACAGTGAATCGGATACTGTTAAAAGTTTATTTCATGTGCTTTCTCAGGTAAATGTTTCATCTCTTCGGCGACTTCGATTTTTGGTCTCTGGTACTGATGGTATATGTGGACGCATGTGAAAAACGGAGTAAGAGCAGTTGGTTACCCGTTATAAATACAATCACTGCAAAGCGTTATAGTTATGGTGATTAACAAATAACAATTATTAATGTCATCCATCGTGAGAGGTAGTCAGGATATAACCCGAACCTCGACAAGCACGTCTCGAGCAGAAAAAGAAGTGGGATATACTTCTGCCATAGCGTGCACGTATTTACATGCAATATATCGAATCAACGCGCGAGCTCAGACCCACCTTGTTTATATTTATTAAATGCGAAGCATTTTTTTTCGAACTTCGGCGACTTTGACCGTATCTATCTAGCCGATCACTTTTGGGTGCTCTCGTGGGCACCCCCTTAACTTGGCGTGAACCAAAATTAGCATGGGAGGGTAAGATGGTTTGACAAATATGACGCGCTGGTCAAGACATAAATAATGTCACAATGTCGTCGCGTACTACGTCAAACACTTCCCGTCAGACAGTGGAACATACCCACGAGCGGGTATGTACCGCTGGTATGCGGGTATTTGCAACAGGTGATCGACACTTAGTATATACCCAGGAACGATGAGAACACGCATGGGAAACGTCGGTAGCTTCGACCCGACGTATGCGAAGAATAAATGTCAGGGTCGCAGCTGGAATCGAACCCAAGCATTCTGCGTTGACAATGAAGCATTTTACCACAGAGCAACGCCACGTCTCAGAACTACTTTTCAAATAGACGCTAATCTTTGTGAAAGGTCAATGGTGTTTGCAGTGTTACCTACCCAATTTTATGAACTTTGATGGAGCCGTCACGTCGGGGTAACGTCAATTGTGGTTAGTTGCCATGCGCTGAGGTCAATTTATGTAGCAGTGTGCAGGGCCAGCATCCTCGTGAGCATCAACGCTTCATACCAGGTTCTGGTGTTGCTAATACGCATGACATTGTTGCGCAAGTGCAAACAACTGGTCATATAAACATCTGCAACTCTTCAACATAAGGCTGTGCGTGCAACATTTATACATATATTTAACGTCTTTTAATCACGTGTCACTAAATAAAACAATGGCAGTGGCTTAGCTAAACTATGCCAGGTTATGCGTAGCGTTTGCTAAGGTTCAGCTGATTATTCTTAGCTTTCCAGAGTGTCTAGGATTAGCTTGATTGTCGTGCTTACAGATGTTCCAATGACACAAACACGGTATACGTATTATGTGGCACATGTATATTTATTTTGCCGGGCAACTATTTCGGGATCCAATGAGTTAAGCTTCTCCGCTCTACTGCACCGTTGAGCAGCATTTGCACTCTCCTTCTCCATGGCTATACCACAGTAGCAAACGCCAGTCAGAGGCGCTATCAAGCGGCTCCAGCGCAGTGTCAGATGGCGACTGCACAAGGAAGGCGTGCGCGTCGGCGTCCATATGTCTACCAAGGCTATGACGGCACTCCTCTGGAAAGCACACGCAGGCGCTGGCGAGTCGCGCGCGGCCGCGGCCAAGTGCGAGGGAGGTGCCGGCTCCAGTGCGCGACACCACTGATCGTCTGCGCAGCGCATCGAATAGCGCGCACACTGGCGGCAGGCCACGCGCGGCGGCGGCGGAGCATTATTGCGCATGCGCAGACCAGTGCCACGCGAAATCGGCTCAGCGAGGCCAGTGTAGCTGTCGCTACAAAATGCAAGCAGGTCACCTTCCCTCCGCATGCTTCGCATAACGTCGACTCCCAAGTATCCCAAATACGTGGAATCTGCCGAATTTTTTTGTTGTGTCGTCGTTTACGTACCATACTAATCAGCCGTGCCGTGCAAATCTGCGGTGTTCCCTCATGCCTGTACAATACTGATAGTGTTGGCACAGTTTTCAGTGTAGGTAAACGTTGCTGAAGAGTGGATCAACAACCACGTTCGTATGGATTCATGGCTTCTAGGAAGATTACACACTTACGGCGCTTATCAAGGAGGCACAGCGGCAGTTGCTCTGTATTTCTCTTTTCGATCATTCACGTTTCGCACTTAAGAACGAACACGTTTTAAGTTTTTGCCGTTGGATCGCGGCTTAAGAAAGCCTGAGCACGTTGACTCTCAGCAAAACATTACTGGCATGGATGAACACACGTTGGTGCTTACCTCCCTTTCAACATCGACGAGTGGCTTACAGCTTGAGTAGTCTGACCTGTCAGCCCACGTTCCGTTTTCGAGGCACGTTCTCGTGGCGTTGTCTAAATGGGTGCAGACATAAGTTGGTTCATGTATGAGAAAAATTATAATATTATTTCAGTGACATCATATGTACACGAGCGTTTTGAAGAGCACATTCTCTCACTCGAACCACCGGACATTTTATCACACTCTGTAATTAATGATTCGAGAATCTAGAAGCATTATATATGAGTTTTTGACTGATATGCACAATTTTGGTGATGTCCTGATCCCCTTGCATATGCAAATATATGTCCCCATTTTATTAAAAGAAAGCTACTGTTTCAATATTTGAGGATAACGTCACATGAAGACATCCATTTACTAAACGTGTAGAAAGAGATATGAGGAATAACTTATGTTTATTTTCTCTTACGAACAAATATTTTGTAATAAAACAGAAACAAAAATTGTTGAGTGCTGGGCCTGCATACCAACATGCTTTTTCAAATCACGCGTCAGGGATCCTTGCCAACGCGGCTAGAATGATGTGGTTTCCCCGCCTGCTTTCTTTCGATATTTCTGATGCTATATATAGTACAAAGACATTCACGAAGTACATGTAGCTACCACTTCCGCCGATTTTGGTGGTAGATGTGTAAAGGCGTTCATGTTGCGCATACGTCACGATGGAGATAAACGACAGGCAGCAAAGGACCTGCTGGGAAACCCCCATGAACTCTCTGGCTGAAGTAATGTGGACACGCAAATACTCATTTCTATGTGTTACACAAAGTGATGTCAAGCTTCCGACAGAGGACTTCGTTACCGCGCCACGTATCTTTGTTCACTGGAGTCTTCGCACATGCAAGGAGAAAAACGATGAGCATGAAGAGCAAGCCAGTGGCTTACGGCTGTTCCACCGCTGGCTTGAACCACCGGCTACGAGTCCAATTGTTTGGTGCATGGTACTGTAGGGCCAGAACGCTAGGTGTTATACCGTATCGTTGTTCTGACTTTTCTCACTTTTTTTTGCAGTATCGCGTCTGTCAGGACATAGTCGACGAGTGGCATACCAACAAACAGAGATGTGTCAACGACACGGGTGGTAGCGTCTGCGCGGAAGCGGTGGCGTTTACGCCGGGGTTGTATCCCAGGGGTGGAACGGCCATCCACTGGTTCCGGTTTCCGCCTCGCGCTCGTGTTGTTGTCCTAGCGTGTGCAAATATGTGACTTGACAACATTCACTTCAATGCAATTGAATTTTAATTTCTCTTCGCACTTTTATTTCTCCTCACTCAATTTTTATCTCTCTTCAAATTGTAAGTGCACATTGCACTTACCATGTGAGTGAACTGCACTACATGACTCTCCACGCCACAGACGTACGTGACTTGAAATGAAGATCAAAGGCGGAGTCATTTTACTCACTCGACGTGTCGTAGAAAAGGTCGTTCAGGAAAGAGAAGCAGGGCAACACGGCCACAGCGCCAGCGTTAGTTACCGGCCAGCAGGAGAGTCCATCCCAGGTGCGTTGACAGGAGAGGGGTCCACCATTGTCATCTGTGGAAGCGGGAATGGCCTGGTGTTCTTTCGCAAGCCTAAAGTTAAGGTTCATCTTAACAAAAAACTGCGAGTTTTCAGGCCCCCTAGAGGAAGAAAGACTCATCGTGAACTGCCCATTTTCTCTGGTCGTGATATGCTTAACCGGATGAAATCGTTTTCCTCAGTAAGTCGCATCATCAAATGTTACCTAACTTCGCTTGTGCTTTTTTATTTTTGGTCACGTAATCGCAAATCCAATGTAAGCATTTCAAATTTTGTGGCATGATAAGGGGGATTTGTTTAAACTCACCTACGTTACGTAGACTGCTAAGAAGTGCAGCCCACACCGCTGCCTGCCTTTTCCCGAAGGTTACGCCGAACAATTTTTTTTTCAATATTTGGTTGTGTATTTCTTAGTTATTCGTGAAATTTGTTTCCAAGCTTTTATACTTCTGCCATTTCTTCTATTATGTCTAACTAGGACTGTACATAAAATTAGGAATTCATGGTTAGCCACCCTCCGCAGCCTTCAGTTCTTGGGTCCGGTGCATAACACCCCTGCGCTGATGCCAGCCGTTGGGAACGCGGATCCGGCGTGTCTCAACAATGGTATTCCATCGTCAGACTCATCGTCCAACTCTGCAGAGAGGAGACGGGCTCATACAATAAAATGGAGTTATCTTTACACAAGAATAACAAAAAAGAGGTAATGAAAAGGGGAACATGTACAAAAAGTCCTCGCCTTTTATAGCCCTGCGTCTGCCTACACTGAGGCACTCGAACTGGTATCGACATCTTCAGCCAATACGGTGTCTTAAGGTCTCGGTGACCCACCTACGAGAAAGGGAGAGGTACCACGCGATACAACTGGTGAAGGCCCAGTCGAAGACGACGCCCAATGGAGTCACAAACCCACTGCTCAAGGTCAATGCAGTTGAAGTAGCTTGATTCTGAGAACTCTTTCGGCCACAAGGAAGACCCCGAAGGGCAGACAGGGGACGTGTCGTCGAATTTGAAAGAGACGGCTTACTCGAACACGTGCAGGCTTTTACGCCTTCCTTCGAGTCAAAAATTGGAGTGTTTTGGCAGGGTTCCCTTCAAAGCTACCACCCCACGCTGCAGATATTACGATAAGAGAAATGTCTGCCTATTCCCACCAATGCTTTTATTTTCTCTTGGAACCCGTCCACAACGGCCTTCTTGACCAACTTGACCACGTGGTCATTAACCACTTCGAGTAACAAGCAGTTCTTCGTAATCAATCGTCGACGTTTTACTGGAAAGATTACGAGCAAGACGCTGGTCCCCGAAAATTTGAGCTGATCTTAACAATAGTTATTGAGAACAACAGTGGTAAGCCACCTGGGCGGCTTACAGCAGCCGTGAATTTGTTATTTATCTTGAGGAGATTTCAGAATATTTTATAAGCATTCGAATAGTATAAGCTCAGGAAGGTTTGAGACGTAGAGTTATTTATCACTTGATGACGCACCCAGCTATCAACCTGTTTCACTTACAAGGTTAGCCCTGCCACTGAAACACTACCACCACCAATCGCGTTGATAGAAACGCATTGGCTGTGTTACGTCGTTGCGACACCTGGTGCTCATAGGCGCAATACTGTATCGCTGGACAAATATTTTTCTCATTTGTACTTGATTTCGCTGACAGCTATACAATATAGAATCAAGAAAATGTTCTCAGGAACTGTAGCGCTGGTCTGCAACACGAGAATCATTCGCGGAGATAATAAGACCGGATAGCGAATCACGAAAGAAGACAGATAGGCCAGACTGTATACGAACTCATCTCCGTGAAAGGCAAAAAAAGTGCGAAGCAACATTTGCTCCGATCCCATGGAACAGACCATCGCCCCTTCTATCGTCTTGTTTTATTCATGCTGCTTTTCACATCTATTCTTTTTTAAGCCAAGTGTGGCCGTTTGTTCCGGCCATTCAGGCCTCACATTCTCATGGAACGGAGAAGCTGAAGATCTTTTCGTAGTGTGCCTTCTATCTTTCTTTTTGGAAGATTTAGTCTTACTATCCTCTTTCTGGTTTCGGATAGCTTCATCGGCAAGCAACTCATTTCACCCAACACTTGGTCGACCTTGGGAGGCTGATCTGCTTCTAGAAACAGCTGGGAAAAGCATTCTAGTGACGGCCTCTGTTTCAGCTCTGACGGTAAAAAGGGATCACATTTGCGCGTCACTCAGATACAATGGATTGACCATGGATCGACACAATAACAGCGTCAATCTTGGAGCAGTGTCGTCTATGAAATACATCGTCGTCAATTTCGTAGTTGCAGTCGATAGTCAGTTGTTTGGGATATTAAATGTTGATAAACTATGAGCTACGGTTCCCCTGTTTAAATCTAACACTTTAAAAAAGAAACAGTTCAAAGCACACGAGAGTCAAAATTTCATGACATGGAGTTAGCCACGGAAATCAAGGTCCACATTCACAAAAACGTCTTACTCCTAAATTGTTTAGTGCAGAATATTTCGGCGGCTCATGACGGCGCGTATTTGATTAGCAGTGGAGCTGCCAGCTGACCAATTGGCAAAAGTTCATATAAAGCATAGTTTCGTGCACTTGGTTTCAAGCTGTCAGAACCGTGTCGGACTCAGCCCCTATATTGAGTAAGTCACATAAGCCAACGGCCATTGAGACAGTACCTTCAATTCTAAATTATAGCTAAAATTACACAGATACATAGACAACGTGCAGCGAGACATCTCTCCTGCTTCTTTCTCAGTAAAACTTCGATAAAGTAAAGAGCAGGCAATGACGAACCTAGAAAATAGGCTCGTGACTCGTTGAGCGCTGCGATGTAACAGCGAATCTGCGCGAGAGATAAGTTGGCCAAGTAGCTCTCGTCAAACGGCGCATCTGGGTGTTCTGCACCGGGGTGCTCAATTGTGAAATTCTCGATGGCGGCAACCAGAGAGTCCAGAGCCGCGCTGTGTTCGCTATCGCTCCACGAAGAGCCACGAGCTTTTCTGTCCCCGCTTTCCATTTTCCACTTGAAGACTTCGTCACCGGCTGCTACTGGTAGGAAGCACCTGGGTTAGATAGAAACGAGCACTGTCAGGTTATGAGCACAAACAAGATTCGAATGGTGCCTATGGAGTCCCCACACCGGTAATGCATTGATCCTGAATCTATTCCCCGAATGGGGACCAACTTGAAGGAACTACGAAGATTTTTCTCCAAGAAATAATGTAGACTTTTCTGTGGTATCGTCCTAAATACGAAGGGTTGTCAGATTTTCTCTTTAACCCTTACACTATCTTGTGAGATTCGACAGAAGTTATTTGCGATATTTGACAAGCGAAACTTAGCACAGTATATCAGGTCCGAACCCGCATCAAAGTCCGAACTGAAACACCGATATAATTTGTTAAAGCGGTCGCGTAGTCGCAAACAGCAATTTAGGCTTCGCGAAGACATTTATTGCTGTTTGTGTATCCAAACCTAAAAAAATTGTTTGATGAAACGCTACCTATTGGAAGGAATTTTCTTTGAATATTTACAACCTTGCATTGTTCAGAGATATGATATGTTTTATGAGACAGCACACAGCTGGCTGATGAAACACGCACGAAATACCACTGATAGTGTACTTAGCAAAAAGACATAAAAACTGCCCCAATCAACAACTGTAAAGAGAAAAAAAATTGACGAGTCTCACATGCTACTGGAACCGATGTTATTCGAAGCATGCTGGGTCAAGGTGACTGTGTTTTATATTTTTTGATTTAGTGAAACGTTATCAAATGACGCGAAAGATAACTACAAATGATGTACATAACAATATTTGTTGAACAGTCGCATGTGTTGTATATAAGCAGTTGTTTACATTCGCATAAGCATGCCAACAGCAACATGAGTTTTAGGAATACCAGAAGCGGTATAAGCTGATATATCGCGCTTGTGCTTGTGAGGTTGGTAGCCCCGGCTAGTAGTAAATACAACTTCAGTAGATGGCACTTGGGTGTACAATAGATCTTATCCTGGCGTAACGCCTTTATTAAGGGCAGTCCACGTGTAATGTCTAAAAAATGAAATAACAGTAACTGCATCTACCGTTTAAGTTTAAGCTAAACTATCTCTGCATAAGTTGTTTTGTTTTTTAACCAGCCCTGAAAACTGGCCTTACTCTGTCTTGAAAGACTGCTACGCAGAATGCAAAGTTTTAGTCCTGCTGTGACCATGGCTTCTTTTTTGCATTTGTCACACCAAGGTAGCTGATCTCAGTTTTTTCTTACCGCTATCAAGTTAAAAACATTCATCTTTGTTCTCGCCGTACCTGCGCAGATATTAACTATCACACACCCGTGGCACATACCCACCCGTTGTATCCAGATAATTATTGTTGTCGCTTGACAACGCCACCGATGACTGTCATTTTATGCTTGGTTCGGGGAAATAAACTTTCAGTTTTCAATGAACGCTTGTGTTGTTTCGCTTGCCCTTCGGGTTTTTCGCTTTTTGTGTTCTTTTTAGAAAGCAGTAACTTATATTTTCCGCAAGCTATGGTCTTTTACCACAATACGCCCGTTTTGTCAGCTTACGTTCCCACAGATAATATTGCTACTGACCAACATACAAAAAAAAATCACCAGTAGAAACTGTACAAGAATCCTTATAGTGCCCGAAAAAGCAGTATATTATATTTTGATAATTGCGAGCTAAACGCCCTAGCCATTCTGGAGAACATCTCTTATGTGTGAAAAAAACACGGAGATTCACTGCATTGGGAATTGCGAATTGCTTGCATATTACAGAGAGAAACAAAAATTGACCATGTGTCTCTTGAATTTCTCGGAACGCCGTCTGGGATTGTCTGTGAGGAAGGTTTTCTGAAAGTTCATTTTTCTGTTTCTACATGAAATCTAGTTTACATACTAATACAAAGACATCTCGAAAAATTTTCTGACGCTACATTTTCAGCCCCCTCAAATTACTGAGTTTTACGGAAAGAAATCGCAAAATTGTCAGTTTCTCCACAATGTGACGCTATTTGCACCACGTAGTGCTCCAACTAAAAAGCAGCTTTATACCTTAC